GAACAGCAAAAAAAAACGGGTTCCCACCATATGCTAAGTCTTGAAGCCCAAGGCTGGTGCATAAATCCGTAAACCACTGTAAGCCCTGATGTCCTTCAGCCGCCGCGAAGAAACGTCTCCCAGAGCAAAGAAGGAGTTCCAGACTTGACACTGCCGGCTGCTGTCTAGTTCGTTTCGCGACTCCAAATGTACCAGGCCCATGGCAGTTTCAAAACACGTGCATTTGCAGAGAAGGAGAGGCCTAGCCAGCATGAGACCCAGAAGAAAGTTCAAAATCACCATGAAGTAGTAGTGACGCACTTGACTGACGTTCCGCCGCAGAGTGGCATAGGCTCCGCAGACGTCGGAGATAAGGCGAAATATTAGGATTGCGCTCAAAATCTTCCAGCCATAGTCTACCAACCCAAGCTTCGCCAGAGCTTTGTGACGAACGAACAAGGCAAGGAAGACCAGGGAGCATGAGATATCCAGCAATATGAATGCAATAACTGTCCTGTTTCAGGGGGGTTCATGACAGGAAAGAAGTGGCAAGATGCAGGTGCTTACCGACACGTTGCACCATGAAACCGCTCTCCACACCATTCTTGTGATGATTGTACGTCATCATCAGGCAAAACAGTAAAAATAACGGACACCAATCCCAACCCTACCACCAATGCTTTGGTCTGTTGGCCCACTGCGTCCTGCTGGACACCCATGAATCCAAACACTTACACTCAAATTTCAGGCTTTGTTGCAGGCTCAAGCAGCCGTCACCATTTGCGCACAGCCTGATACGGGTATGGGTTCTGGGCTTACTTCGTGGAATGTAAAGTTAACCTCAGTTCCAGAATGTATGAGCATTCCCGCGAACATGATTTACTGGGACAAGATGTGCATGCCCGTCATCATCTCAGAAGCAGCTAGGATGCTGTAAACAATTCTCATGGCTTTGCTGTGCTGACGGAAATGAATACAGGCAGCACGAAACCATGGCGGTGTGTGAAGGTGCTAAAGCATTCAGACTTCTTCCTTAAACGTACGAAGAAAACCACCGAACGACTCCGCGTCCATTCTCGCATCATAACTTCTCTGAGTACCGATTTCTTACACATGATGAAAGCTTAAGCAAGCTGCCGAAAGCTGAACACCAAATGCGTAGGAGACAGGGCTCAAATGGGCTCAAGCCAATGACATGTACAAAAACAACCACACTAAGTGTAGCTGAATGACTGCAAGGCGGTCGCGTTTCCAAGAAGGGCACTTTAATATGGCATGAAGCGTTTCCCTTTCCGGATAACCATGAAAAGAACGAACAAGTCCGCACCCGTGACGGCAGACTCTAGGCCCACCAAACACATCCCGACAACGCCCAAACCAAATCCCCCAAATCCCAAGTCCCTGAGGCCTGCCTCCAACACCAGTCAGAAAGGACCCGGCGGCAATGCCAACATCGAGAGGGCATGCTGGTCGCAAGCAGTCGGCTGAGCTAAGCCATCTCTGAGAAGACTAGGATGTACATCAAGAATCTAGTTGAGCCTACATTACATTACATCTTAGCAGGCTACACGCACTTCCCAGCTCCAGAGACCTCTGGACCAATCGACCAAAGTTGATAGCATGATGAGCTTTGAAACTTTAGCAAATGCACTTCATGTAAGATGCAGCTTGCGGCTTACGACAAAACATGCTGACATGCGTTTGTACTTTGGGCTGCACGCCATTGCACGCCGCTTGAGATCCAGCGGCGCGAAAGTGCAGTAAAAACGCAATGGCAATGAGCATCCAAGCCCCCAAGCTTTCGTTGCAAGAACCCGTTGCATTCGACTTGGGCAGCCCTTGACTCAAAACCCTAGCATGGGATGGCACAAGCCGTCTGAATTACCGAGTACCGTCTGACTCAATTGCAATAGGGTTGCAAACTGGACTAAAAGTCGACAAGCTGAGGCCAGCCTCCTTGAAGCCTTGTGGCGGACCGAGCCTGCGGCAAAGCAGCGGACTAGCCACGGAGACTCACCTGGACCTTCAGCCTAACCCCACGGATCCCAAACGGTCGGATCCAACCACGATGTGCCTGCCTGAACCGCTCCAGAAATCCTCGCTCGGAGGCCTGATCACGCTGGGTAAGCTGGGTCATTCTGGGTTCATGATGTAGCATGCAGAGCTCAGGGTAGGTCAGGGTAGCCTGCGGCTGTTGCTGCTGATCTTGCGAGGATCTACGAAAGATTACAGCCACCAGCGATCCGTGAATGCTCAGGATGCGGTACTTGGCCGCTAGGCGGACAACTCCAAGTTTGCACACTGCGTCACCGAAACTGACCTCGCTGCTATGTGGCTGTGGTGATGCAGCATTTATCTAACGACATTTGCCAAACGCGCATTGTTTTTGCTTGAAGAGCCAGCCAATCTCGCTTTTGCGAGTCTGTCGCTCAAAGCTCTACAATCCGCTGCAGATGGAATAGTGCTCTGTTTTCTTGGTGCCTTGCATCCGGCAGCTCAAGTGCGTGTGAATCGCGGGACGAAGCATGAAGCACCACACCTCTACTGTAAGGCAGGCACATGACTGGCTACCAAGGCAGCACGACGTCGGGCCATTGTATCCCTTGCCGCCACATTGTTCGTTATAGCCGGCACCTTGGTGCAATCGGTTTTCCCCAATGGCCATATGCATCTTAAGTCTTCCTGTTCTTCATATTCACAGCTTCATGTTACACATGTACAGGATGCTGGATACCCGCAGCCTCTTCTATTGCAAGTGGATGTCCTTCTTGCAGCCAAGCCACAATCAATGTCTGTCTTCGAAGGCAAGCACTGCCTGCAGCACAGCCCAGGGCCCTTCAGTAACACTGGAAGATACTGGAAGCAACACAGCTGCCATCCCATCTGCAGCTTCAGCCGCTCAGAAAACAATGCAATGCAAAGGAATTCTGTACCTCACCCCAATGAAAATGGCTAACGCCCGCAAAAAAGATAGGTCTCCCGACCAGTATTCAGGCCGCGCATCATCGCAAAAGGAGCCCCTCTCACAGCAGAGAGGTGTGGCGATTCCTCCCAAACAGCTAAACTGTTGATGGATGTTGTTGGATGAACTCAGCATATACGCTCTAAGGTTGGGGTATGTTGGGGGATCCACTGACTTGCATTCCTTGCCAGCTGGGCCACCAGGCTGATACGGACCCAGCAACAGCAATCAAGCAGCCTCAAAAACCTTGACCCAGAACATCCCAACAGCTAAGAAAAACACATGTCTGCATAAGCACAGCCTTGTCCGCCGCACTGCTGGAACACTTCAACACACCTGAACACTCTCTGGCTTTAGGTAGGGTCTTTTACCTGATGCATCTCTGGGCCGGACACCTTCCTACTCAAGCAACTACAAAGAAGTGACAACGTTGATGCTACGTTGCTTCTTCACCTCAAGCGAGGTTTAGCAAAAAGACTACACACATGGCCTAGGTTCTGCTGCTCTGATGTTAGAACGCAATTCTCAGCACGTCTAGCAGGTTGCCCTTCCGTACCTGAAACACGAAAGGCTGATGCCATAGCTGTCCACTCAAACGGCAAATGCTGCCTGACCTCACTACATCACCTTATGCAAGTTGACTCAAGCCCATGGCATCACATCACCCTGATGTCGTAGGCTCATGGCTTTGTGCCATTGCCGACCCCAGTCGGCGCATCGGTTGGCGTCTCGGCTGGTGCCTCGGCCTTGGCACATGGCTGGAGCCAAAACCACCTCTCACCACGTTTTCAGGAGCCTCAGTGTCTGAGGATCGAGCCGAAGTCGAGGCCGAAGTCGAGTTTGTGGACGTTGAGGGCAAAGTGTTGTTGGAGGTGGTGCTGGAGATGGTTACGTTTGGGAGCTCCGAAGTCGTGGTCGTCACCTGGCATACCGGCAGCTCTGGTAGCAGTAAGCTGGTTTATTAACCGCCACAAACTTATCCCGTGCCTTGGCTTCGGTGGTGCTCTCCGTTGATGAGCTTGACGTTTCCTCTGTGCTGGTGGGAGCCACTGTGGTGTCAGCGGGAGCCGCTGTCGAATTGATGCTGGTGGCATCGGTCATCGTTGTTGTTGACGAAGGTGTTGTTGTGGTGCTGCTTGACGTTGACGAAGTTGTGGTCTCCGTTGTGGTCGTGGTTGTCGTCGTTGTCGTTGTTGTGGTTGTGGTCGTTGTTGTGGTAGTGGTGCTGGTGGTGGTGGTGGTGGTGGGCGGAGAGATGCTGCTATCGCACATATCTCTTCGAAACGCACCTGATGCACTGGGCAACTGCTTCCTGCAAACATGTAGTGGCGAAGTTCCGTAACAGCTTTTGGAACACAAGCCAGGAAATCCGTGTAGTTACATCCAACTTGCAGGAAATGGAAATGACCGTGAGGGTCACAGCAATGTGGAAAGTAATTCTACCTAAGCCGTAAGGCAATGGATAGCGTGCCTCACATTTATCAGAAAGATGCATGCAATTGCAGCTGCAAGACAATAAAGTGCACCGGGGTTAAACAGGCTGAAGGAGCACCCTAGAAGCAACTTTGAAAGCGATCCTTGACTGCTGAATTAAATACCTCTCTGTTCCGTTGGGAAGCACTAACGTGCCCTGAACTCCCGACCATGGCATACGCAAACGCAGATCACTTGAAGACCTTCACAGCTGGACGCCAAGCCCAGCATGCATTGCTCGGAAACTAGTATATGTTTCAGAACTAGTTCAACATGTGCCCTATGTGCAAAATATCACTCAGCTTACCTCATCCCAGCTGATGGATCCCAGCGGCGTCTTGTTCATGATGCATGTTGGTTTGGGTAGAGAATCCAGCTCCGCATGATTCCTACTATTGCACGCAATGGCGGAATGGCAGCTTGTACCCGAGTTCACCGAAACTAAACTTTGTGAGTGCCCACCTTCAACACTCACCTCCTATCCTTGGCTTTCCATTGTCTTCCCCACCTAGGAAAACAGGAGGCGCAGTGAACAAGATGTAGCCCAAAGAAGCTACGGTACGCTGACATTGTGACAAAGTAACGACCCAGAAGTTTGAGACTGCCTGGTTTGCTAGTCCACGTGCCCTCTGGGCAGGCATAGCACTCGGTGAACGCGAAGCCATCTCAGCTGGACCGCACGGCTCAGAATCTGGATCCAAAATTTACAAGGTAGAAGAAAATTAGGAAATTGGGCCATCACACCTCACCACATCACATTGGTGCCTTGCTTGCAGGAGCTTCAGGCGGCTTGCCCAGTTGAAAGCCTGCAGACCGAGAAATCATACCTGCTCACCCATCTAGATTGCTCAATTCCTTAAAAGCTCCAAGTGTCAAGATGATCTTCCCCAGACTCCAGGTTGCCGGAAATCCGATGTTAATGAAGATAACAGAGATGCGATGTTTCTACACAAATTTGGCAGCTAGCGGTCATTGCCACTCTGGGGCCAGGCCGGGGACCTTCAAAGTACACCTATGGTCATAAGCACAACCCCACAACAGGCCCTCTAGAACTGCCCAAAACCATGTTCGGCCAATACGTTACCAAAACACCCCAAAATCCTTACCAGTCAGGCGGCCGCTGTAGGTGCCTGTCAAGCAGTACTCACATTTTGAAGCGCGACAACTTTTCAGAACTTGAGGCATGGTCGGGAGATTGGATTTCGAGAATACATAGCAACCTTTGCGCATCTGAACACTCTTTCCGCTCTGGTTACATGATCCTTAAAGACTGCTGTATGTGTAGCAGATCCTCTATTTGTAAGTTTCTTGACCTCTCTGGCAGCACCTCCTCGCCGCCCTGCTACTTAAGAATACCCAGGGCCATGCAAAACGGCATCGAGGGTTTGGTTGGAAATGAGGTATGCTCCTTGTGGCACCTAGGGTTGGATACATCCATCCAAAGCTAGCAGCCGCCAAGCCTGATCCCTAAACTCCTTGAACGCAACCGGCCATTTCACTAAGCATCCTAACTTCAAAATCCTCCGCGCCTGCGGGGCATGCCTCGCACTGCGACACGCCCACAAGGTCCGAGTAGTTACCCACTGCGCAGGGGACGCAAAGCCGGACGTCTGCAGCAGCCTGTTTGGTCAACGGCTGAACCAAGACCATACTCAGAGGGTTGAAAACCAATTTCAAATTGTTTGTATGGGGTTGCCCTTAGCTTTTTGTGCTCTGGATGTTCACTAATGTTCACATCATATTAAGAACTACCCGTACATTTATCAAATCCCGGGCCCGGAACACAACTATAATAACCCCC